GTTACAGAGTGGTAAGTTCATTGTTTCCACTTGTTCAGTTGTGCATCATTTATATTCAGAGATCCTATTGGTGCTTTTGTATGCTTTATCCAGTTTACTACATTTGAGTTGAAATATGTTCTGGCTTCTGTGATTGTTTATTGTTGCTGTGTGTGTGTTTACATGCTGTGGAAATCCCCAGCTACAGCTTTTGTAATGTAAGAAGCTTCCCTTTCAAGACACCCATGTCAGCTTATTCTTTGTTGCTATTTCTCCGATAGTCTGGTGGAAAAAAATGCAGTTGAATATAGTGATGTTATAGAAGTCAGCAATTATTATGAAAGAAATTACTTAGGTGAAACTAAGAGCTGAGTCTTATTACAAAGTTTAAATAATGAAAATTTTAAGTGTCTGCATGGCAGTATGGTGTGTTTATGTGCTTGTGTGAAGAAGGGTCAGCTGCCAAAGATCAGCGCATTCAAAAGCCATGTTTTCAGAAAACAAAACCCAACAATCACATGAGCACGCATGGTTGTCATGAAAAGAAAATAATGTGAATTCTGTAACCTATTTTATCACAATGGCTGCTGCTCATCTGCCAACTGTCAAGTCTTGAAGCACATGAACACATCACAAATGTCTCCTACGCACGCAGCACCCTGTAGCAGACTTTTTCAACCAAATGTATAAAACAGAAAAAACTGTCCAAAGATGCAAGATGTCTTCAACTACAAGTAGCCTGGAGGATCCAGACATAACAGTTGATGACATGAACTGGTTCAGTCACTTGAACAGGCTGTTCATTTTCATCTAATCCCTCAGGAAATAACTGCTATTGAAATTTACACTACACAGATGCAGATGCATCAGCAAAATACTGTAGCAGTGTCTGTTAAGGGTCTCGGTCACCCTGTTAGTACAACATCTACTCATAGGAAAGCAAACTCCAAAATGAGATCTCAATTGTTTCCTTCTTTTCTCCTAGACACAAATGTGCTGCTTTTAAAGAGGTGGTATTATGCTCATTTTCAGGTTCAAAATCTTAATTAGGGGTTATATCAAAACAGGTTTACATTTCAAAAAACACCATATTTTTCTCATACTGCACATTGCTGCAGCTCCTTTTTTCACCCTATGTGTTGTACGCTCCGCTCTTGAGCTACAGACCACCACCCTGTGGTTGCTGGGCCCCACAGGCCTGAGGTGGCATATCATAACTTAAAACATGTTCTCAAGAAAGTCTTAAGATTGATACCATTGGACATATATAATCTGCTATTGCAATCAGTGTGAACAGATGCACTCAGTCTCTCTCTATCACAACTCAACAGACTAGTGGTCATTTTGTCATTGCTGAGCACAGCTATGACAATGATAAACATAAGCCAACAATGACAGTGAGACATAAAAAAAACAAAACAGGCAGGAACTTGGAACTTTTAAGATGTGAACTGTATTTTATTAACTTATTCAATCAACATATCCATAACTTATTAACTATAAATAGGCTTTGATACAATTTGATTGAAAAGACTTTTGCAAAGGATTTTCCATGAACATCAGTGGACCAGAGGTAGTGCCTTGTCTGCAGTATTGGAGCATGTTAGGCCTACTTCATTTGTGAAGTGTTTTCCTGTCAGACGTGCACTACTGCAGCACTGAGTAGCTGTTTGTCTTTCAAACAGCTACAGTAAAACAATCAACACCACTGTTCAAAGTTGAGAGTGATGAAGAGCTCACTCCTAATGAGCTCCACAGAGCACCTGGTTTTGCTGTCACCTTGTTGGTCATTCTGGAAAATATCCATTTCACCTAACCAGTGGATGCTGCAATGCTTATGATGTGGCTGATGATGGACATTGTGAGAAGTTGCTAATGAACTTGAGTAAATGTAAAGGGGGGTGTGAACACAGATTTTGGCTAAAATATTTGTCATTGTTTGCAGTAAAACCATCCAAACAATGGCACCACACATAAATAACCCATCTAAAAACATTTAACACCATTTTTATGATTGGTCTGTAAATATATTTATGTTTTAATTTTATCAATTTTTATTTAGCCTATTATTAATTTTAGTATTGAAGGATGCAATTCTATAGATTGGTTAAGCATAACACATTGTTGTTTATATTCTTCACATAGGCACTATATGTATACCTCAACCTTAAAAAACAAATCATACCATAATGTAGGGATGTGATCAGAAAATGTGTATGTTTTATTAAGTCATTACACTGCCTCGACATGCTGTCACAATTCTGACAGGCCACCACACAGAACACTGGCCGACAAATTGAGCAGCTTGGCTTCACTTCCACTGAAACTTTCCAGACAAGTATTTGATTTCTCGCAGTCTCGTCATTGGCAGTACTTTTGCATCCACTTTCATTCCAAAGGGGATGCGGGGGGGTTTCTTGAGCTGATGCTGCCGTTGTTTCAACTCAATACCCTGCCAAGAGAACTACCCTAGCTAGTTGCATTCTTGTATATTATGTGGGTCACAGAAGTTACAGCAACTGAGACTAGTGAAGATGTTGCATCATTGTATATTATGTGGTACACTGCTGGAGATCATATCATATCAGCATAACGTTAGCAACTGGTGGGCGCTAGATTGAAAGCTAACGTTATCTAACTTCAGGCAACCAACACACAAAATCACAATATATTCCACATGCTTTGCAGTAACGTTAGTTTACCTATCCAATGGGATGAATGCCAACTCTGAGTCGGTTTTTATATCCAAAACAAAGCAGAAATATCTGACTGTTTTTGCCTAACGTCAGTCTGTTTCTCATTTGGCTTGATGGGTTCAGCACATAAAACTTTTTGTTGTTATTTATTCTTGTGTGGAGTTTGTGTTGTGCTGGCAGTCAGTCGTTTTGTGGTGTTAATGGACATGATGTTAGCTGCGGTGTCCCTGTGTGTACAGTTCAGTAGATAATAAGTTGGCAAGAGGCTTGGGAGTGCAAATGCAGAAAGTCTGACCTGATTTCTTCACATAGGATGCAGCTTACTAACCGTTCAAGGGACAGAGAAAGCATTTTTATGCGAGGTTCATTTTTATGTGAGGTTACAACCTGTCTCACAAATAGGTAAAATAAAAAAGAGAGATTAACTGATAAGTGATTTCATTAAAAAGACTACATATAGCCAATTTACTGAACTGGACTGCAAAGTGTTGAATTTAAACTATGAATTTAAAGCCAACACATCAAACAATATGCCATCTCAATTAATAGACAGACACTATAGAAAATCCTTCTCATAGTGTCTGAAGATGCTATATTGTCTTTGATTATCTAGTCACAAAAATAACAAACATTTCAAGTTAAATGTGGAAACTAGGCCACTCATATCCAGAGGGAAAGCTGAAGAAAAGGTGCAAAAGCCCCTCCTCTCACCGTGACATTAGACACCATATCAGTTTGGCATCTACATCTATTTTAGAGCACACGCTTGATGTTATTAGTGATGTTATGTATTTCCAAAGAGATGAAGCATTATGTAACTGCACAGCTGGGTGATCTGTGGGGAGTCAGATGTTTCTAGTTTAAAGTGATACTGCAAAATCTCTGTCTTTTGAGTATTATGCACTCCCCTGTTGGCAAGAAAAAGGTGGCTGTAAGAAGTTGTGGTTAGCTTGTGTTTACTTAAGGTGGCTAGAAGTCTAATTCGCCAAAAACGATTCAGTTGTGTGAACTAGTGATAATCTTGTGAAAGCAGAAAGCAGTGAGCGAGAAATGGAAAATAATGGTCATATATTTTCTTGAAAATTTAAGTGTTTGAATGAAGCTTCTAGGTGAGAAGTTGGATGCTGGTTTCGTGACACACAGTTAGCTGTCTCCATTTCTTCCTTCTTATTCACAATTCAAGCAGGCATTAAAGAGCGGTATGCAGATGTTTTTAGAACTATTTATTTTACATGTTATTTATGCTAAAGTTGAATCCACAAGAGAGAACACTAGCTAGCTTGATAACCGCTAATGAAGGTACCTCTTGTTACCATTAAACCTAAAGCAAGTGTTATACTTTCTGCGAGTACACGGAAGTCAGCATAGGGTGGACGCATAGGCTCTGTGCCTCCCGTTTCTTTTGACCGCGCGCCCACTACACTACCAGGGTACCAACCGGTCTACTGCGCATTTGTGGAACGAGTCTGCCAAGCTGACTCCAGAAAGTAGTATAAACAGAAGTAGTTTGTGTCCGTGGTGTAACTATCTGCAGCATTCTGCTGCATTCTGCATTCATTACAGGAAAAGCACAGATGTAATTAATAACAGTAATAATGACTGGGTGCTGCCTCACTGAAAAGGCTTACTGGGACACTTAATGGAGAGGAGTCATCACTAATGGTTATTTGTTGCACCTGTTATTTCTGCTGTGATTAAAAATGTCTAACCTGTGTGAAACCTACAAACTAGCACATCTCCAAAAATAGACTGTGCAATGTGTCAAAATTCAAATCTGACACTACCAACACAGGAGCCTTTCTCCCTTTCCATTTCCAAAGCAAACGCAGTTGCAAGGATGGGCTACCAAACGTTTTTTTTCTGATTTGCTTATTGGCAAAAAGACACTTTCTTATTTTCTTATACACTTTGACAAAATAAATACTGACACTTTCTTAGCTTTCAGTTGTGCGTAAATAAGGCATGTATTTTATCAGCCTATTTATTTTACTTTCTCAAAAGACTAAACCTTTCTATTAAGATCAGTGGCCTTTCCATCATTATTGCTTGCACAAACATAATGTTTAGAGGAAACACTGTGCAGGCCATTTCTGTGAACAGTTTTTGTACAACCATGAATAATGTACTGATGCATTCTCTCTTTCTCCTTATATCCCTTTTCATCTGTGTGTCTGTGTGTGTGTCTGTTCACCTGTCTGATCTGATTGTGTGTGTGCTTGCCTCTTTTTCATACCATGTGTATGCATGCTTCATATTGATTTTGTGTGCATGGTTGTGTGGTTGCATGTGCATATGGACACATACACCTATCCATACCTGTGACAGGGATGACATGTCAGGCACGGAGTTCCTACCTGGACACAGAGGTGCTTTGGGGTTATCGCTTCACACCTGTTCTCTCTCTGGAGAAGGGCTTCTACGAGGTAGACTACAACAACTTCCACGATGTCTACGAGACCAACACCCCCACCTGCAGCGCCAAGGAGTTAGCTGCTAAGCTTCGGGAGGGGCCGCTATTGCCTCAGCTTTCGCTTCTGAGCCCTGAGCCCAAAATGCATACTTTTGACCCCCTAAATCGTCTGTCCAAACTGGACCCACTCAGCCAGGATGAGGACAAGGAGGAGAGAGATTCAGGGGGTGACAGAGGAGAGACCAACGGCTCAGCTGCTGCTTTGGAGGAGCAGCCCCTTGCTGATGGACTGCCTGACTGATGTGACTGATGGCCACATCAGCTAAAAAACAGGAGAGACTGGAGAAGAGGACAGGACAATATAATGCTTCATTTAGTCAATGGCCAGCTTGTTCCATTGCAATGCTTGGAGATATAAGATATCCGTCTCCAGCCCCCGACTCATGCAATACTCCTCTACTAGAGTGTCAATCTATATAGTATAGATTGGTTTTGTAGACACGTAAGTAAACATACACAGACACACACGTACAGTATCTATATCTACACTTAAAGGTTGGTGGCTCAGATTGTCTTTTTATAATCGTAACGGCAACTTACTGCTATAACAGCTCAAGTTGTATAACGTAAACTTGAGCTGAAACTGGTAGCCATGACAGAGTACCATAGGTTTATTATGGATACTCCAATATTCTCATTTTAGAGTGTGTTGATTCAGCTTCATTTGATCAGAGCATCAGTCTCATAACTCCGCTAATGTGTCTGGCAGCAGCTTCTGCGTGGTAATGGAACCTTGTTATTGATTTTTTAAATTTTTTTTAAATGTGGGGCTTTTTATTTATTTTCTCTGTCAGTGTTGTTTTTATTCTGCGTCAGAAATCCAATTCACCTAGAAGCAAAGGTACAAGAATTCTAGTTTGGCAAGAGAAGATGTAGGAAATTGTTCTATAAAAGGCAACGTATACTGGCAACCACCATCCAGTTTAGTTTTCGTGTTCACACCATCCTCATGGTTGTACTGTCATCAATACTCTCACTGTGTGTGTCTGGTTGTCTTCCAAACACACTGAGAGCTTTGACCCAAAAGAAACCAATTAGTACCTCATTTTATACTCATGTTCAGGGTTTGAAATTAACAAAAAGAACGAGACAACTGCTGGTAAAAGCTGTGCTGCTGACTGACTATTTTGAAAACTTTGTGACTTTGTGAAGATTTAATTCCCCCTTACGCTGCAGGAACTAAAACTTCCAAGCCCTTTTCTTAGTACGTAAAGCACAATTTCCCTTGAGGTGACTCCACACTGACCTAACCACACACATTGCCACAGCTACTGGCTGATGCATGTCAGTCCTAGTTAAATGTGACATTCAAATGTAGATTAAAATATCCTATGAAATATTTATACTCAACTGCAATTTGAAATGTTCTTGATTTTTATACACCGCACATATGAATATTTCAAATGCTCCACAAGCAAAATGAAATAATCAATGTATCCTTTTATGTTTGTTTTGGTTTGGTTTTAAATATTTAAAAGAGATTCAACCTTAGTATTTTTCAGCTACACAAAAGTTGAGTCTACTGATGATAGGATCAGGTATTCTGTCTAATCTCATGAGTTTAAGATCCTACCAGCCCATCACCCGCGGTATTTGCCTTCTTTGTAATTAATTCCTCTGAACTTCATCTTTGGCTTTCACCTTTGAATTTGAAGTCTTCTTTGTCCACACACACTTGGCACACTCTGCACCATGGCTCCGTTCCACGAACCGCCCTTGGGTCTTTTGCTTGATGTAGTTTACGGCCCTTGTGACTACTGTTTTGGAAGCAGACACTTGTCGTGTGAGGGCCATAGCCTACAGTATTTTTTGTACTTTTCTTTGAAAGGACACATGTCAGAGCTTGCATGCATGAATCAACCCCTATGCGTCCCATTGTTCAGTAAGTTTAATACAGTAAAGAAATACAGGGTATTTTCTAGGCATGCAAATTATGAGATTTCTACATAATATTATCAGATTATGTATTAATATTCAATTATCATTTGTTGAGAGAAAAATGAGATTCCTGATACTCCCCAATTTAATGTTTGTTTTTTGTTTTTTTACTGATGCTTGTCCAATTAATGTTTTTATTTTCACTGTGATATTTTTGCATCTTACTATGTATTTCATTTGCTAAACGATACGTTTGTCATTAGAGAGAGATCATCTTTCATTGCTGGAATGTCATCTGTTTTCTGTGTGTTCTCATGGGAATAAACATAATATGGCCGAAAGAACAACATGTTCCTGTTAGATAATGGGTGCCTTCACGAGCGAGTGCATGCGAGTAAGTAGTAATTTTGCACAAAACTTTGCAACTGAGGATTCAAAAGTAGGCAACCTTATTTTAGCATGTGTGACACTGCACTCTATCCGCTATAGTGTGACAAAATGACAAATTTAACTGTGTCTTACACACCTGAAAACTGGATTAGTTGCATATCAAATCATGAAAAGGAGACTTATGCAACCTTTAAATTATCAGCGCAGTACAATCTTGCACTAAAGCTCAAGGCAAAAACTGCTTCATGCATGCTAGGGGAAAAATATAATGGATAACATCAAGAACTTTGTCGCTCCCTTTCCATTTCTAAATTTTAATTTATTCATTAAAGTTATACAGCAGCAAAGACTGGATTGATCTCAGTAGTAGCCCAAATCCTCCTTGTGCTAAAAAGTAGTTGCCCAAGCCTATAAAGGTTTACTTGTGGATTAGCATGATTGTGGCTGGACCTAAACAGCATTGCTGAGTCAGCTTTGTGTGTTAGGAGATTGAAATTACTCATGCACACACACAAGGGAAGACACAATCTCAGAAAACAGCTGGCAGACTGATTAAGGCCACCACAGCTATTAACTAGCCTCAGAGAAAACATTGCAGAAGTCACAGGGGCAATCACATTTATCCAGCACCTACAACCGAGTACAACCAGTAATAAAATGAAACATGATGTTACATTTGATGGCCAGCATGTCATAGAAATTCACTGAATCATAGCAATGTGCTGTCAAGGCTATTCTTGTCCAAGCTATTAAATTTGGAGGCTGGATCGTCAGCAAGCTGACAGTCCCTGATTCAAATCTGAATAATGTACGATGATGAATATAATGCATCTATTGAATGGTGCATTGAAATAGGTACCCAAAGCAGGTGCATGTGGGTGAGCGTGTGTGTGTGTGTGTGTGTGTGTGTGGGAGAGAAAGATAGGGACATAATCAGTCATCACCACCTAAAGCCAACAGGCGCACGTAAACACAATAACACCCACAAACACACAACAAAACTAGCCATTTAAGCTTTTGCCAAGTTAAATGTGCCCTTTTTACAATGGGGAAATGATGAAAGGAAAAGAACAAAAAAGACAAAATTGCTAAAGCTGATGAATGGCACCACACCAACAGAGTAACAAGCTATTGTTCTTTCTCTTTCTATGGCTAGCTAATACTCTTTCCTTCTCCGTTAAATAATGCATGCTTGTGACGAAGAAGGAAGCACATAGGCCATTAACAACTGTGTAGTCAGAATAAAACATCCTGCACAAAAAAGAGAATTCTTGGAAAAAAGGCAAGTGGGAGGATTTTTCTCCGGTACAACACACATAGTGTGATCTCTTTATATTCTTGCACCATTATCGGACTCCCGTTATTTTGCCCTTGCAAACAAGCTGACCCTGTGAAACAACTCCCACAAAGAGGAAACACACACAGACACAAACATGCAGTGCATGGGTTATTTTACAGTACTTCTCACAGTTTTTTCCCAACCATCCCAAGCAACATCCAAAGATGAAAAGGCAAGATCCCAAACCCCATTGTCCTCTCTTTAGCAACTGTGACTCCCTGCTGCAATTATATCTTATTAAGCATTCAAATAAACTCATACATGGCACTGTAATTGTTCCCTTGTCTTCATTCCCTTAAAGCTCACAATGGTAGAAGATGTCTTTATGTATGTAATGTTTTTCTTTTGGTAAGGTTGTAATTTAACTCCTCTTGTGCACTCTTAAGATACCTGGCAGCTGAAGCCGCTTTTGCATATGCATCTTCACGTGCAGCTCACTGTCCCAAATCCATAAGAGCTGGTGAGTTTCCTGGGAATCTTCCCCTGCACTGATAGTTGGAACAAAAGCTGTAAGCCTCCAGAATCCAGCAGTGAACATGTTACAAAACCTTATATAATACAGTCGCACACAGAGCAAGTGAACCTCTCACAAGAAGCTCTGAGGAGATGTATTTCAGTCTGCTGTTTGTTCATGGTGAAAATGTTGTTAGGAGTAGGTCAGTTAAACAGTTTGAAGCAGTTCATTTTGGGGGGGGTGTTAAAGGAAATGTATGAAATTCTGGTAAAACAATATTGGAGCTGCTCATCCATCCACATGTTTTCTAGAGCAGAAACATTGCATACAGCCTCACCACACGTTTCTTGTCATGTGTGAACTCAGAACTTTCACAGATAGTATGAGAGAGAAAACCACTCGCACTGCCAGGCAATTCTGTTTGGTTCCTTATAAAAGGCACTTGTTAAAGGATCTTTTTCTGGAGTTTTGAATGGAGCAGCCAGACAGATGTACAGATACAGAGAGAGAAACCTTTGCCTTTTCCCTGCCAGGAGACAGAGGTCTGCCCTTTGATGTGTTTGGACGATGGCAGCCTTTGATGAGGATTTCTATGGCTGCAGAGTGGCTCTGGCAAATTGAGCTGGCAAAGCATCACCTGCTGAGGAGCACAGGCAGGCAACACTGTGAAAACAAGTCTATTTAAGAATGTAAACTGTAAATTCAGTGCCAAAGTAAAAAAACATTAGCTCAACATTTTGTGAAATACTTTAATTTTCTTTCTTGCCTAGAGTTATATATAAGATTGATACCATTCTTATGTCTGAAAGTTAAATACGTATGAAGCTACAGTGCAATCAGATGGCTAGCTTATTAGCACAAAGACTGGGAATATCTAGCCTGACTCTGTCCTGGTTAAAAACAATACCTACCAGCACTGCTGAAGCTCTCAAATCAACATCTTCTTTGTTTATTTCATACAAAAATCAATGTGTAAAGATAACAAACTATGTTTTTTTAACGGGGGCCAGGATTCCACCTGTTTATGCTAAGTTATGCCCATCCAGCTGCTAGCAGTAGCTTCATATTTAGCATACAGATGAAAGATAGACATAAAACTATTAGTAACAGTCTCCCATGTAAAAAGCTCACCCAAAAAATAACTGAGGGAAATTCTTTAATTTGCTTCATTTATGTCAGAAGCTTTTTGACCTGTAATATTCTTAATGTTCTGTGAGCCAATTCTGTCGCCCTAGGCCTTTTTTAAAACTGTGCAAGCCAACAGAGCATTCAGGGTTGGATTAATTAACACTGACCTTTTAGCATCATAGTTAGCCATTACTTCTACATTAATACTGCAGTCAAACATGAACTGAATTTAGAGCTTCTGCATGAGGTGGGGAGAGGAGTTCATAATCCACAACCACTTTAGAACCTTACTGACTCATCATCATGGCACAGAGCAATGTAGCAAACATTGGTTGTTGTGATACTTCTTTTGGGAAAACTGAGAGATTAAGGTTGAGGTTTGTTAGCTTTTTAGTATTTTCTTTGCTTGTCTTATAGTTTATTAGAAAAACATATTAGTCTAGGTTTTGATGAAGAACAGGGGTGGGGTTGGGGTAGCATCTAGAAGATAACTGGGAGGAGTATTTTTTTTCCCTTATAGCTTTAACATTTATAGAGAGAAAAAATCTATTAAATGACATTTAGCTTAGCTTTTTATACTTTCAGAAGTTTTTGTCATTGTTTTAATACTTCCCTCTTTCTGGAATATTTTACAGCCAGTTATAACATGAAACATTTTCTCTGTCTCTTATTTAAATATTGCACTGGTAAGTGTAGGGAAAAGAGGCTGGAACTGAAGAGTGCTTTTGAACTTGTGGTGGATTTAAGCCACTTGAGAGCCTTTG